GAGAAATAGCGATAACAAACTTTCAATATCAAAATCCAAGATGGCTGCCTATCGGCCATGTTGATTATCCGATCAGTCCCAAAAGTTGTCCTGCACAGCTAAGGAGGGGGGAACATACAAACAAAATTTGAGAAAGATCCCTCTAATACTTCCCGAGAAATAGCGATAACAAACTTTCACTATCAAAATCCAAGATGGCTGCCTGTCGGCCATGTTGTTTATCCGATCAGTCTCAAAAGTTGCCCTGCACAGCTAAGGACTAAGGGAAACCTGCATATAAAATTGGTGAAAAATTCCTCTGGTACTTTTTGAGAAATACCGATAACAAGAATTGTTTACGGACGGACGACGGACGGCAGACGACGGACGGACGACGGACCACGGACGCAGGGTGATTTGAATAGCCCACCATCAGATGGTGGGCTAAAAAACCTTGAATGGTGATGTTTGGTATATACATGTAGCTGAATTCAGCTCAGTTATATCTAGTAAACCTTGGTCATCGTTTCAAGTTACTGATATGTATAATACCAGGCCCATTGATCTTGTAATGTATTAGCATTTGTTCTGATAATTAAAACAAAATATGTGTTGGTCGTTCCTATAGTTTTTTCAGTCAAAATGTCACGAATTGATTAAAAAAATGTATCTTTTAGTGTTTTTTGAGTAGCCAAAGAATTGTCAACGTATGTAACGTATTGGTTCTGTACTGCCTCTCGTTTTAACCTATAAGCCAATTTGTTAATATTATTGATTTATTCATACAACTACTGTCACGAAGCAGGTAGTTGGAATCTTTACGCCTCCTTTAGCAAGCACACAATCGAATTATTCGATAAGAAAGTACGCGAGAATAACATCAATGAAATATTCATATGAAACTTGGAAATAGTGGCTCTGCAAACGGCTTATCTGAACTGAGATATATAAGTCAAACAGACACAGCAGGTACGGAATAACCAGTCATTATTTAAGGATAAAAGTACGACATACATGTGATGACACCTTTAACTATTCTTATTTGCAAAAGTATGCCAGAACAAAACTTACACCATTTAGCTGTGTTGTGTTCTTCTTAAGACACCGGGGATGCTAAGGACTACGAAAGGCTGAAATAAGAATTGGTCTAAACTACTCTTATAACGAAAGGGGTGCATGCTATCCCTTATTTATATTACTTTCAAAATTTGACGAATACTGGTTTGTTTCAAATAAATAAAGAGTAAGGTGTGTATATAATCAAACATGCAAGTACATCTACTGCTTCTCCTACGAAGTTGCCAATATGTTTACGGCTTGGTTTGGTTTTATTTTGTTTAACGTTATATTAACAGCTAAGGTAATTTGAAGACGTTCCTCCATGTGTCTTGTGTAAGCGTGCATGCATGCTGGAGACAAAGTATGTTGATGCACGTGGCTCTGGTCTGATGCCGACTTTAAAAGTGCAAATGTCACTGAAATACCATGCTGAATGCACCTAGCACAGCATTCCGCCAGGTCATATTATACTGACAACGGGTTAGTTGTTGCCATAACACTTAAAACTGATTAATATTAAGCAGTGTATAACATGTACCATTTTTAATGACTATTGTAGGTCCTGGTTTCGCAATAGCTTGAATATGTAGTCAGTGGGATACAGCAGGCATATGTTTTCCCCGAAATCTGCAGAGGGCGAACTATAGCATTCGAATTAAATAGCGTTCTTTCTTTTTACTAGGAAATCACATCACAAGTTTAAAGTAACACTGGTCTTGATATTTGGCAGTCCAGTTGTAGGGATGTTTGTTTTTCTCTACTCTTATATTATTAGTAAAAGACCCTACTCGGGGCAGCTGCACTTACAGGATGAAAGGGTTTTAGTTGTTTTAATAGTGCAATTCCTGTCCGTGACTAGACAACTAGTGTTGTTTGATTTTAAACAATTTCAATTGCAGTTTGAAGGTATGAAAATGAAGATTCTGCCTCACCCCTGGTCTGAGGGGCGGGGTCAAATTGATTAGATGAAGACCTACATGAGCTTGAATCCAATCATCATGGACTTAAAGGTCATAAAGTGGTTATAAATCTTAATTTGAATTTCATAACCCCCGGGGTCAGCCATTCTTCCTTTGGAGGTGTATTTTTGTTCTATAATTAATTATTTCAATTTTCCATTATTTCACTGTTTTCCTTACATTATCACAAGAACAAATACCCGTTATATTACCCATTTAGGTTAACATTAAGTAGGTTGTACCGTGCATGTTGATTGGTTTGGTTTTATTTTGTTTAACGTCCCATTAACAACAAACGTCATTTAAGAACGTGCCTACATGTATGTTGTGTATGCGTGTCGAAAGCAGAGTATGTTGATGTATGTGCCTTCTTGTGATACCGCGGACCTGATGCTGACTTCACAGTGCTATATTACTGAAATACTATCCCGCAGGCACCCAGCACACCATTCCGCCCGGTCACATTTTACTGATGTTTTGCAAAAATTAAATAATTATAAAAGACAAGTGCAATACTAAACATGTTGTTGTTTTGTATTCTCCAGGTATCGTGTGATTTGCTGAAATGCCCTAAGAATACAAGATGTGTAAAACTACGAGACAACACCACAGTTTGTCATCCAGGTAAAGAAAAGCGTTATCCCTACGGTAGAATTGCGTAACTTACCCGATTTCTTAGTCTTGAACGAACATGAGGCCCAACAGTTTGGTTTGCTTTGGTTTAGTTTAGTATTGTTTAACGTCATATCAACAACTACGGTAATTTAAGGACGGCCTCCCATGTGTGCAAGATGCATGCGTGTAGTGTATGCCTGTGTGTTTAAGGAGGCTGCGATGTGTTCTTGTATGTCTCCTTGTGATACCGCGGAACTGATGCCGACTTTATAGTGCTACCTCACTGAAACATACTGCCGACGACACCCAGCAGGAAACCCCATCTGATCACATTGTACTGACAACGGGCGAACCAGTCGTCCCACTGTTAAATCGCTGAGCGTTAAGCAGGAGTAGAAACTACCATTTTACAGGGGGCGAACGCTCAACTAAAGGCCAAAAGTGAGGCATTAGGAAACAGTTGTTAAGAAAGAAATGAAAAGATAAGATCCAAAATTAGGTTGCCACTTACGATCATGCAATGGAGGCAGCAGATACAATTCTTACGCCCTACCTGCAGGGACGAGGCCCCACGGGCCTGCATCCGTTACCTAGTATTATTCTCACACTTGCAACCTTAGAAATGAACCAAACTAAAGCTAACGGCAAAAAACAGTCAAGAGTCATTCAAAAGAAATGTTAACATATTTCAACACATTTGACCCCTTTGACTTTATAAGACAAAAAAGGACATTAAGTTAAACAAACATTAAAGTCCTTCATTCCAGAAAAAACATCGCCACCATACACCTTTTGTTTATACACAATTTTTAGTTTGATTTTGTTTAACGACCCATCAAAAGCTAATGTCATTTAAGGATGTTCCTCCAGTTGTGTTGTGTTCAGGAGGCATGGTATGTTGGTGTATTTGCCTCCATGTTATAACGCTGAATTGATGCCGATTGTATAGTGGTGTATCCGGGCACAATAGCAAATCTACAACTCTGCAAGGGGTCCAATATTAGTCGCATCCTACAATATATGCTGGGGATAACAGCATGTGTATTATATTCTCAATACCCGACTTGCAAAGGTGTTTAATGCAATTAACCATGTGACATTGAAAATCATGCACATTCACAAACTCGACAGTCTATATTCTCGTATGTTACCTATAACTAGCAAAACAAACCAAATTCTATTTATTGTTTCAGAGCCATGTCGACGGGCAGACTACTTGTTGTCTTCAAAATTGAATTTTTGCTTCAAAATCCACAATGAAGCTGCCACATCTACTGCAGCAGAGCAAACATGCAATGACGAAAGTGCAACTCTGACAGTCATCAATTCTGAAGAGAAAATGGACTACTATGACAAGCAACATCTTAAATTCAAATATTCAAGTAAGTTTCGACAGTATCCGTCACTAGTAATGTAACTTTGCTGTAAACATACGTAGTTGTAACATCCTAACAGTAAAATCATAAGACAACAAATAGCTTTGGATATTTCACTATGTGTACTTTATTATACCTAGCACAAGGTGTCTTTGTACGAATGGCGCCTTGTGTGGTGTAGTAGTTGTTTGTAAAAACCAGAGGCACAGAGACCTTAATAGCTCACCTAGTCTTTTATTTTTCAACTTAAAACCTGCTGAGTACCATACAGGTTTACCAATGATGCTCCAGACCAAATGTGGTCAAAATCCTCTGGGCCAAGTGAGCTAAAAATGACGATTTTTGTTTTTTCTATTTTAATAATGTTCGCCACCTCTCCAGTCTCTGGGAATGGGGCAAGATCTTATTTCTCATACCATCTAATTGCCATCTGGTATCATAATCATTCCAACCAAGTTTAAATAATTTCCTGCTAAAAATGGACAAAATCTACCCAAAAGTGTTACTTCCCTATATAAACCGAAGTCAACTTTACCACCTCCCCAAGCGAGAATGAATAGGTAATGAAATTGGAAAAATAGATAAAGCCCCTGACGGAATGAGATGTTAATATTTGGATTATTGCCGCGTTCAATGCCATGTTTGAATGTGGTTGTTTGTGACGATATTTTCTTCCTAAAAACACTTTCCTGTGGTGAATAATGTAGTCAATAACAATATAGTTATTATGGAAACACATACACCATTCCCAGTGGGTGTCGCTATACTTATCCACAAAAAGGGATATAAACTCTCAAGAGGAAGGATAAATCGGTCATGCGTCAAGTAATATAGGCAAACAATCAGAGAAATTAATAGATGACGGCAAAGCTAATCATACTAAGTAATGTGTATGTATTTTTTCTTTGAGACGAGCAGGTTTATTCTTCCCATGATGAATCTCGTTTTAATTGAATTGCATACTGTGATGACAGTTTTTCTCAACGATTTAATAACGGTTGTTCGTTTGCTTCTTAATCGACTCGCTGCTTAATGTTCAGCTTTATTAAATCTCTTTTCGAAAACATAACTGTCTCTTCAATTTTAGGCTATCTGAAAGCTGTTGGTCTTTTTAATAAAATTTGAGTCATCATAGCCACTTTCAATATTCAAATTGACGTTTGTCTTTTAACCTTAAAGTTTGTTTGGTGTTTTGTTTTTTTGCATTGGGTTTTTTCCCCGACCATTAATTTGTTGGCCCTAATGACCTATCCTGTGTTGATGGCCCGTTAAGCATTTTATAATAATAATGAAAATAATACACCTGGTTCAACCGTTGTCAGTATAATGTGACCGGCCAGAATGCTGTGCTGGAAGTCTTCTACATATTATTTCAGTAAAATAGCACTATAAAGTCGGCATCAGATCCGCACTATCAAAAGGAGGCTTGTTTTTGTATTGTTTCACGGTCCTTCGACAATGCAAGTCATGGCCAAACAACGCGTTAAAACAGGCAATCGCAAAAATAAATACATCAAACTAGAAATAAAAAGAGGGAACGAATTGGTGTAAATATATCAGATCTTATTATAAAGATTAATTCAGTGTCAATAACCACATTGATTGAACAGAAACTGTATTAAATACACTTTTCATACACGATACATTTTATAATCTGTCACGTCTTTGTTTGAAATCAGCCATAAAATCATACAATGCATGACAATAAGGATGCTCTTTTTTATTTAAAATGTAAATGTGTGTAATGTAGGTATGGCCTTTTCGCAGTTGCGAAAGGACAAGCCCCTCTCTACGGTCCGCTCCACCTGCCACACATGAACCTACGCTAGATCCGACCTCGAATAATTTGTTCTTAATCATTTCAGACCATTTATTATGCCAATTCGTTCTATAAAATTCGCGATTAAAGTTTCAAAATGACTATAAGGTATTTTAATATCAATTGGATGTAGGTTAAGGGCTGCTTTAGCAATCCTATCTTCTTCCTCATTTCCACTTATTCCGACAAGAAAAAGTATCATATGATTATCAGGAGGAAGGTAGTATTACTGGAAACAAGTAAAATGTTTTGTTTGGCAAACTATTTTGGAATCACCAATAATCCTACAATTACATCACCAGGAAAAGATGCAAGCTATTCACAAAAATATTAGTTGTGTATCTAAAATTATTGAATGAGCTATTTAGAATCGAAAAACATTCTCTCCCCTACAGAACACTTTGACGTAAAACGAGCACAACTTATCATTTACTTAGACTTAAAACTGGCGACGGTCACGGTCACCAAATTGAAGAAACTTTATAGCACTACACCCAAGTCAGCAGGGCAAACAAATGGTCGACAAAACAAATGCAAAATAGAAACATAAAAAAAAATGTAAAGGTAAAAGACAATCGTCAACTTGAATATTGAAAGTGGGTATGATGATTCGATTAAGCTCACCTGCCCGAATGGCTTGTAACCTTATACCATAGCGCATCGTCAACTTTTCCTTTAAACGACTTCTTCCGATGGACTGGCATGCCTAGAAATATTTAGCTGAAAACTTTGTTGGTTAGAGCGCAACAAAGTTTGAGAACTAAAATAACGTGACCTACTTTCAATATCACATGGTTCAAATGTGTTAAAACGACATCTTCTGAATAACTGAAAAGTACAGAATTTTAATATTTGGCTGGTAGCTTCTTTGGATTAAGCCTGACAAGGTTTGAGAATGAAAATGACTTGGCATTGACCCTCGTTAAAGGTGACTGGGGTAAAAAAAAAGTCAAACATAGAATCTTTATATTTTGCTGGTAACTTCTTGCTATGAAGTTTGTTCAACTAAATGCCCTTGTTTGATTTTTACATGGGTCAAAATGTGTTAGCATGTTCTATGGAATGACTTTTGAACAGGACACTGATACTTTGTCTGTAGCTTTATTTCAGTCCACTTTAAGCTTATAAATGTGATATTAATACCAGGTAAGCGATGCAGGTCCATTGAGCCTCTTGTCTATTTATATGACCAACAATTTTCAGATAGCCTAAAATTGTACAGTTATTTTTTTCAAAACTTATATTTAAGACAAGTACGGCAGTCCAGCAAAGCGTAATATGACCGTTCGAGATTGTATTATGTACTAATAATTAGATTTTTCGAATTGAGATATTTTTAAATTTTAGGAAGGCTCTTTAGAAAATATATATAATCAGAAAAGACAACTGACTGCCGTACATCATCAGATTGTCCATGGACAACTGACTGATTGTATGTGTCCAAAGATAGATAGCATAGACACGTGCGGAAAACATTGACGCATACTTTAGAGTCATTCAACAGGCGTATCTTTTGCTACCTTTGCCTCTGCAACATAATGATAATATTTCGTCCATCAGTATAAAATGATTAAAAGTCCTATATTTTAAATGAGGGTTTGATAAACGTAGGATTTGGTGTCAGATTTAACTGTCTCATGAGGCATTGACCAAATACCATTGCTCTAGGTTTTTTAGTTATTCAAGAAAATTTGGAATTTCAAAGGTTCTTTAATCATATGATCCTTGTGATCTTTAAATTTTGGCTAGGTTATTTATAGCTTTCCAAGCCATACCTATTGGTCAATTGTCACCAATCTGTGCACCCTGGTTATTCAGAAGGGTTTGTTAACGGGTTTTTACATATTTTGCCCCTGCGACCTACAAAATAGGGCAAGTTCAATGTCACTCGCTCCAATGTACATACTGGCCAAATACAATGACGCTAGGTGCACCAGAACTTAAGAAGAGGTAAATGAAAGGACGACACACTGCCATCAGCTCACAGGCTTTTCGTGCGAGGTTTAATTAATTATTTAGATTTTTTCAAATGATAGATTCATAATACATGGGTGTTTTGAGTAACGGTTCATAAAACAATGCACGCTCGAAAGGCTTCATACGGATTTTAATGTTTTGATGTGTAAGTCCGTGGGTGTAGCTCGATATGAAGCTGTCTTGTCACTGTCGTAAAGTGCTAAAAATAAGTTCCAATCTCATAAAATATTGACATACAATATATGTGTTGTTATAGACATTTGGAAGAAAGGTACACATTTCTATACGTGCACGTAGCTCGATATAAAGCTGACTTGTCACTGCCGTAAAGTGCTAACAATAAGTTCCAATCTCATAAAATACTGATACACAATTGATGTGTTGTTATGGACATTTGGAAGAAAGGTACACATTTATATACGTGCATGAAGCTCGATATAAAGCTGACTTGTCACTGTCGTAAAGTGCTAAAAAAAGTTCCAATCTCATAAAATACTGACACACAATTGATGTGTTGTTACGGACATTTGGAAGAAAAGTACACATTTATATACGTGCATGAAGCTCGATATAAAGCTGGCTTGTCACTGTCATAAAGTGCTAAAAATGAATTCCAATTTCATAAATTATTGACATACAAGAAGTTATTTTAAATTAGGGTACGTGCTATAGTAACTATGTTGTTTTACATTTTAATCGTTTTACTATGGGCAAGAAGAAGGTTCATGGATGTTCAGTTCTCACCTGGTTAGGACCCTTAGTCCTAAACGTTAAAGACCGAGCTCACCTATAAATAGTGGACCTTACTAAAACATGGCAGATCATGTACAACTTTAAACTGCAGCAGAAGTGTTTCACTTGCTCTACTTGTTTTGAAATTTTAGTCTAAATAACCACATATTTTTACCAAAAAATGCCAGGTGTGCTTATTTATCAAATCCTCTCTGAAGAAATGACTTTTCTTAATAACCAAGATATTACATATTTTTATTCCAAATATTTGAATTTGGTACTTTCGGGCTATTCCAATTTCAAATAGTGTGGGGAGTAACAGCTCCCAACTGACATTGACTGTCTACATTGTAAGGCTATCTGAGGTCACTGGCTCAGGTCACTGGTCAGCTCTTGTTGATAAACAACTAAACATGCTCACTTACTTGTATTAATTGCCTTTATTCCTCTTTAATTCCT